CAATTTATTTATGTATACCCAGCAGAAAGTTACATGACAAAGATGTTGTTCAATAAGAGGTGCAAGTGATGACGAAGTGGTTCGATTTAGGTGAAACATGCATGATTTTTAAGGAAAATATTATAATAATTAGGGAAAATATATAAAATAATATTAATAATCAAAAATATTTCTAATAACACATAAATTTCATTTGATTAAAATAACAATCTGAATTAATTTTTGAAGTTTCAAAGAATTTTTTTTTTCAACCTATTTTCATGTAGGATCTTCATGAAGAAGAACCCATTATAATTATCAAATATCATGCTAAACGATTTTGAAATAAATCAATACGGAACATTTACTAATAATATACACAACATAGAAAATTTTTAAAATCTTATACTTTTTCATTTTATTATAGAGATATACATAGTATGTATAACATTTAAATAAAATAAAAAAAAATAAATCTCTTCGCATTCTCTTCATGTTCAAAAATGGTACGCACTTTTTGTACTGTTATACTGTTTATAGGTCAATGTGCTTTTAAGGTGCTAAACATACACTCATACAGAGAAATACATACACCCAGCAAACGTTTAGATTTTATTATACATGTATACAGTGTACTTCCCTTCTCTTTTATAAAAGACTTTAGCTCTCATTGTTTCCCACAATATCTATTATATCTAAATTAATCCTCGAAAGATGTTTTTGAGTACTCAATTAGTTAATTTTGTTTGCAAGTTTAAGCGCCCAATGGAGGTGGTTTAATCTTAAGCACGAAATGCAAAAGTGTAAACAGCTGATGCAAAAAAATTAATAAAATTTTTATAAATATAAACATTAAAATGTTCTATTTATTGATTAGTATAAATTATGGACACTTCAAAATACATTTTTTTGTTTTTAATTTAAGTTTTCATTAATTTTCATATTAAATTTACAATTGTCTTCTTCTTTTTTATAAAATATGCATTGTTTTGATAACAAACAGTGACATTTTCTGTTGTTTTGTATGGCAACACTCGAAGTTTAATATTGTACTCAAAAACATCAAATGGTATTAACATTGGATTAAATTTATTTTTAGATTAACTAATCTAATTATTAATTTCCATTTGATTCCCAACTCAAAAACCCGGTCTAATAGTCTTAAAAAACATTAAAAGAAATATCAAAATGACGCGTAGAGTGTAACTTGCCGCTTATAAAGCGCGAAAAGTTGTAAAAGCTTGAATCGCGATGCCGCCTCAACGCGTGTTGTGTACTTCCACCTTAACACTTTAGATATAATAACATTTTAGATTTTCTTATTTAAAACTTAAGAATGCTATATTATGAAAACCACGAATGTTGCAAGTCCCAAAATTAGTTTTAATCAGAGATGGGGGTAGTGCACTAATTTTTAACTATCACTAATTATTAGTGGTAGTTCAAAATTATTCACTACTTTTATTTAAGTTTAGTGATGAATTGAAAAATATAAGCCTCACTCAACAATAGTGATAGTGATATTTAAAATTTTTAACTAAAAATATTTTAAAAATAGTTAAAATATTTGTTTTTACAGCCTAGTGAAATATTTTTTCTACACTAAATTATTAGTTCAAAAAATATTCCTACACTATTTTTTTCAACGGAGAAATGATTCACTTAGTAAGTGTTTATGTACCATAGCTCTAAAACAATGGATATAATTTTCTATAGATACAAAATTCTGAGTTAAATTTGGTAAATTACACATGTATACGCTCCTTGAATAGGACAATCAATCAATTTTTTTAGAAGCTTATATTTTTGGATCATTAATTTCTAGAAACTTGTTTTTCTCCTCATGATATTTTTTGTTTTGAATAAAATGTTATATCTATAATCTTAGATTTTATATAATTTCTTTTGTAATTTAACCGAAAAAGTTAAAAATTCGCCACTTGAATAGAACATCTCCCAAAAAAGTGATTTTATAGCAATTTTTGTATTTAAAACTTATTTATTTGTTTATTTACAACGTTATAAATAAAACTATTTTAGTAATGCGTTGAAGTAGTTCTATTGAGTTTCAGGATTCTTTAATTGCATAGATTAGTTAAGGAATTGTTGAATACAGTTTTTCAAATTGATAAACTTTCCGGGCGAGCCATCCTAAGTTTTCTATAATGTCTGGTGAATATGGAGGCTAGATCAATAATTCAACATTTTGGCTTTATATAAGATTTTCTGGGCAGTGTGGAACTGAGCTTGTAGGATCTAAGGATATGTACAAATAGGTCACTTCATTCTTGGGCTTAAAAACTATAACTTGAAGGTGCCATAAAAGGAAATTGTTCCTCATACCATTACACCGCCAATACTGCTATGTTTTGATATACATATATGTATATGCTATTCAAGTGGCGAGGAGTGTATGTGGCTCATTTACTACAAGAGTGGCATAACATTCAAACATTCTTCGGTTTTAGTTGTAAAGGTAAAAACTAAAACCCACGTTTTCGCGAACAGTAGATCGATACCCTATATTCAAAAAGTGCTAAATCAATAAAGTCTAGTTTTCAGGAAAGCAAAAAAACTATTTAATTCGTAAAATATTGCACTAAAAGACAATATTTCTTCCATAATACGTTTTTAACATCCTTACTAATTCTTACCTATGAAAAAATTTTAATATTTTGCACATTTTAGCGACTTATTTAAGATAGCACTTTTTGGTCGACAAAAAAACAAATATTTGTTCTAAGTTAACATGTTTTGTTCAAAGAATAGAACAAAAATTTCTTCTAATAATATGCGTTATTTTATAATTTTATGAAATGTTTTTTTTTTTTTAAGGGATATAAGTCAAACCAGTAAGTCCAATAAGATGCATTTACACCATTTAAGTAGAAAAACTCATGGCATATCTGCTTGTTTACTATTCCTTATTCTCAGTACAAATATTTTAAATTATGAAAAGTTTTTGAATATAAAAAGTACCAATATTTTTTGAATAATACTCCATAATTTGCACATTTAAAGACTTTTTTATAATCAAAATTCTAAATTGGAACCATAGAATATTATAGATCTTAGTGTTATAAACGATTTCTGAAATAACTTTACATTTTTCGGAAAAACATTATTTAAAGTCTGAAACTGGCTTTATATACAAATATATAAATGATCATATCTTAAAAACTATACATTCAATTTATTAATCTTCACCTGTTTTGTGTTCAGCATGTTCATCTTGTTAATATACAAAATAAATTTTAAAGAAATTTGAAGTTTTAAAAAATGTTGTAAAATTTGTACGGAAGTTAGCACTTATTTTCTTCAATAAAAATTTAACTCTGAGATAGCATATTAACAAAAATTGTTGTTAAAAGTGCAAAAATTACTTTTTTGGTTTCAAATTTATACCAGACGTGGATCATGCATTGAGGAATCCTTTTGCATCAAAAACTCACTTTGCCCAAAATTGAGTTCGCACTTTTTGAATATAGGGTCACGAGATAAAAATTTAATCTCAACTTAGATGATAAATCTATTAACATCTACTCTCTTAATCAGGTTTAATTTTTGAAATCCATGTCCAAGGTCTATACAATTTTCAGGACCAGAATATCACGTTATTTTCGGCGACTCCAACCAATCGAATTGAGTTAGAAAAATATGCAATAAAAATAATTTTAAAAATATCAATATCGATGTCATTTTGTAGCAAATTCTTTGATTCGAAAAGAAAGTTAAAAGTTATTTTGAGTTACAGAATACAAACATGCAATTGCCCTTGCCCTGGTTATAACCTTATAAACAATTACTTATTCAGTCCTTAAAAGCTAACAATGGAGAAAAGACGAAATTTAATATTTTCTCAAATAAAATTGTTTTAACATTAGTGATTAAGAAATTGAATAAAATATGTATTAAAATTAAAACATCATATTGATGGCCCTTTAGTTGCAAATGAGTGGTGTGTACAAATATCATTCGTTTTTGACGTTGTGTTTGCTGGGTCATTTTATGTATGTATCTACATATGTATATACCGTACATGTATGTCAATCCATACATGCATGTATTATTTGCTTAAAATTTGTGCGCATATTTTATAGACATTTGATTCATTAGGAAACAAAAACATTAAAATTTTTCTCTTTCCTCTCTTTTTTGTGTTTGCTGTAAAGTTTATATTTTTAAAGAATAATTTTTAAAATCAGTACTGAGAACATACTTAAGTTGATCTAGTCATTTATTATTTACATTGCAATACGTATTAAGAAAGAACAAAATTCGGACAATACATTTAAAAAAGTGTAATGGATGAGATGGGCTAATTTATTATTTAGAATATTTTCTACTCTGCATTGTACAATATAGCTATTGCTATTTTAAGACTTGGAGTGTACCTCTGAAATATTGAGAAATATTTTTCGTTTCTATTATAATCAGTTTTTATTTTGCGGCAACCGAAAACTGTATTGTGTTAATAAATGTTATAAACAGAAGGATCAGCTAATCATATAGCAAATATTTGCTATGCATCAAATTAATGAAGAATTTTTTGCAGAGCGATCCAAAGGACCCAGACAATTAATTTTCAAACGGGAAATTAATAAGGGTCGCGTAAACCAACGATTTACAGATAAATATTATGTGGATAATGATATCATTGTAGCTAAACGACAACATTCATTAACTGACCAAAATGATTTTCCAATTTATGAAAAATTCTTACGACCCGTTGTATATACGGGCACCAAAGACAACTATTCTAATGATGTATTTTCTGTTTCGCATTCAAATTATTCTGATCGAGATTATAACGATACATCATATTTTGGTGAAGAACCAACTCAAGGCATAGATGCGGAGAATGTGTTTCGTAATTTAACTGCAATCGGACGATTCTTGGAATTATTACAAACGGTGCCATTACCACGTTTATCTCTTACCACAGCGTGCATCTGTTTCATTATTGCAATATTTATTTCACCACGCCCTTGTGTTGAAAATATTATTTTTCCTGCTTTCAGATTAACATTTGGAACTCTTTACCCAGCTTATGCATCTTACAAAGCTGTTCGCACAAAGAATGTAAAAGAATATGTAAGTATGCTACAATTAAAATACTTTGATCTAATTTTTGTTTGTAAATAAACACGTATGTATATTTAAAATTTTTAGGTTAAATGGATGATGTATTGGATTGTTTACGCATTTTTTACATGCACTGAAACTTTTACCGACATCTTCCTTTCCTGGTTTCCATTTTATTATGAAGTAAAAGTGATTATAGTATTATGGTTGCTTTCTCCTGCAACCAAAGGTAGTTCAACACTGTATCGTAAATTTGTACATCCAATGTTGACCCGACGTGAACAGGTATAAATACATAAATGTGTATAAATGTGTAAATTAACTGACACAAAGTAATTTACTGTAGGAAATTGACGAGTATCTAAACCAAGCCAAAGAACGTGGATATTCTGCTGTATTACAGTTAGGTTCCAAGGGTGTAAACTATGCCACCAACGTCATTATGCAGACTGCAATAAAGGTATTTATAAATTTCCTTTTTTCAAAATAATAACTAAAACTCCATTTTAAATATTAAAAACACAACACAGCAAACATGTACATTGTATATATTTATTTATTTTTTTACTTTATTCACGATCATTTAGAGTCATAATTTATTATTTTCTATTTAACAAGTCATGGTCTTAGGCTTTAGCGTCTACAAATACATATTCATATTCAACTCTGATAGCATTGCGGAAAACGTTTGCATGAAAATTAATTTGTTTGTCATCAACTATTAAAAAACTTTAAATTTTATTGTTTATAAAAATAAATAAAAAGTTTATGTTAAAACAATGTTATTAAAATTTTTTAAGTAATAGGACCCAGCAATAAAGCTGAGGAAAAAAAATAGTTGTGGAGAAAATAATAGAAGCGGGGGGGAAGTTTTTCGGGACGATGACTCTTGAATTACTGAAAATACCTCCAATAATAATATTAACCTGATATAAAACTTTATAGTTCAATAGTTTTCAATTCGGAGTTTAACCCCAGGCAGCTATTACTCCTTTCTAAAAAGAAGTATTGAAGATTTGGATCTCGAGGATATCTGGAGTCCTCAGAAATTTCAACAGATATACAGACAGACGGACATGGCTTAATCGACACCGCTATCAATAAGGATCCAGAATATATATATATATATACTTAAACGGAATGACAAACTTATATATCGTCACCTGAAATGCAACAAATTAGTAATTTCCACAAGTAAGAAAGTCTTAAAAAGCAACATATAGACAATGTCTGACGGTACAGTTATATTCAAACGTGTTTATCGATGTTGGGATATAATACAAAAAACGACAAAAAAAATGTCGTGTTTATAACAAAAATACCTTTCATTAACCTTCCCACGAAGTTTTTGAATTTTCTATAATATTGAACGGAAAAACACAGAACAGAGGTTTTATTTGGATCTTGAAGTTTAGTTTCACCGCCAGCAAGTGAAATCTAGCACTTCTATTAGGACAAAAATATAGCCATCAAAGCGAAATGTCTTTATACGAATCATTAATTGTCATCTTTAATATATACATATATGTATACTTTAAGTTGTACGAGTTAGACTTTTATCCATATTTTAGAATAACGGTTAATTACTTGTCATTATATTTGATTTTTGTCAATATGGTATTCGTTTCCAGTACAGATTTGTGTCACTATTAAACCCACTAATATGAACTGTTAAAAGTGTGCTGCTAAGAAGAAAAAAAACTTACTGTACAACTTTGGCTTTTAACCACGCCGTGTGTACGTTATATAAATAACATTATTACTACATATCTTATGAACTTTAAGATAATTACACGTGTAGCTAGCGGATTCGTACGATTTCATTTGTTTAGGTATAAGTTTTCGACACGTGAGTGTCTAATAAGTATTTTATGTATCAGGATAAAATTATCACAAAAAATAATTTCTAAACTACATACATACAGTGCCGGCAAAAAAAAATAGAAACAAGAAATTTTTCAGTGGAAAATCTATTTTCTACCAAACTATATGGTAGAATTTAATGACCAATATCTCAAATGAAATCTATTCAATTTTACTTTCTTCTGTTATTCAGGTATTATAGTTTTTTGGACTCGGGAAATTTTTATTAGAATTTAACTGAAATAGTCATTGGAAAAAATAATAGAAACAAGTTATTATAATGCCTTAGGGACATAACATTTCAAAAATATATTTTTTTTCATTTATTTTGGGAATTTTCAATATGAAATGTATTTCTGAAAAAGTAAATAGTCTTTATACTTCGATCTTTCATGCTTAAGTTGTGTTTATAAGAAATTTATTGTGTGTATGGAACCTGACAGTTGAATCGAGTGTCTTCATTTCAATATTTCTTAAATAACATTAACAAATAATAAAATATATTGGCAAAAGTTTTAAAATAACCTATAAAATTTTTGAAAAGATTTAGGGTCGAAAAAGTTTTGGACCCATTGATAGATATCGAAAACTTGTCGAGTGAATTTTGACCAATTTTACACCACTTAACATTTCAAACACTTTAAAACTAATAAAAATGGACTTTATTACAAAGGTATTTTGATTAAAAACTTAGAATATGCTAAAATAAGTTACATTTAATGCAAACAAGTCAAATAAGTATCGAAAATTCTTAACAAATCAAAATATCGTACTGGACTTGACATTATATCTCTTAATCTTACAAACAGATTATTTTCATTATATTTTGTATAAAATAGGCTTAATGGACTTCTAAAAAATATAATCAAACAAAAACTATTACAAATATTTAGTTTTTTATATTTATTTTTAATTTTTATATAATAGGACATACCGTTTATATAATGGTATTAATACCAAATTCTAAACCCATGAATTTTCGATACTTATTGGACTTTTTGTATTTAATTTAACTTATTTTAGAATCTTTTTAACATTTCATCAAAATACCTTGATGTTTAATTCCATTTTTACCGGTTCTATATTGCTTGAATTAGTTCAAAATTGGCCAAAATTTGCTCTGAAAATCGGCAAGTTTTCAATATCTATCAATGGGTTCAAAACTTTTTCGACCTTAAATCTTTTCAAAAAATATTTTCATAAGTAATTTTAAAACTTTTACCAATTTATTTTATTATTTATTCATGTTATTTAAGAAATATTGAAAGAGAGACCCTCGATTCAGCTGTCAGGTTCCATACACCCAATAAATTGCCTATGAAACCAACTTAAACATAAAAAATCGTAGGAAAAAGCCCATTTATTTTTCAGAAATACACTTCTTATTGAAACTTCTCAAAATAAGTTAAAAAAATATATTTTGAAATATTACGTTATGTCCCCAAGGTATTATAAAAACTTGTTTCTATTATTTTTTCCAATGACTATTTCAGTTAAATTCTAATAAAAATTTCCCGAGTCCAAAAAACTATAATACCTGAATAACAGAAGAAAGTAAACATAAATAGCTTTCATTTGAGATATTGATCATCAAATTCCACCATATGGTAGAAAATAGATTTTCCATTGGAAAAATTTCTTGTTTCTATTTTTTTGCCGGCACTGTATGTATTTTATGTGTATAAATAAATATGTATAAATAAATCATAAAACCATTAGCTCTAATTTTTGTTTCTTTATGTGATATTTTTAGTTTAATTATTATTTTTATTATTTTATTAAGTTAATTTTTGTTGCTTTCTTTTCATTTTCAAACAACATTAACCGTTAACTCATTACGTTACACTCTGCACGTGCACGCTTTTACTAGACTTTTCATTACGGTTTAAATGCTACAAATCACCAACAGAGCATATTGCCATCGTCCCAGTCAGATGATGCCATTTATGCTCGCAGAAGTATACGAAATGGAGGAGAATTCGACGAAATTGATAATACCCAGTGGGTGCCAAAATCTAGTTCGTTAAATTCTATACCTTCAATGCATGTAGAGTTCTCCGAAGACGATGAACAGATTTTTGATATTGCAATGGATGGAGAAGAAATTATTGCAACTGAAGACGCAGGAGCTGCACGGATACGCGATCCGCCCATAAGAAAAACTAAAAATAAAGAACCCAAAGGCGAAATCACTAAACGCTCTAAATTGTCAAATCACTCCTCGAAAGTTCCTACATCTGGATTGCGCCCACGACGCAAATTACGTGAAGCTACGCCAGACATAAATGTCGATGTTGTATAAACTATACTTTTTAACAAAAAATTTAAGATCTCTTATCTACTTTTCGAATAATACTCGATTAATTTATATACATAAATTGTACACATTTTTTATACAGTTTTAAATGTTAAGTTTATTTTGTAATACGTTTTAAATTGATTAACATTATTAACTGATTAATAATACAATTACATTTGTCACAAATTATTTCGAATAACTAATCGCTAATTTAACAGAAATAAAAAATATTTATCTAAATACATGTGTTTATACATTTATATGTATTTAACATAGGGAGGAGGCAATTTGGTGCAAACTATTAGGCGTAGTTACAGTCTAAGTGATCTTTCGGAACCAGATATTCATCGTACTGAAGATGAGGTATACAAATTGTTTTAAAGTATACATTATTAATAGATTATATGAAAATGCCTGTTTTGAATTTAGGTTGATGATGTCGTTACAATGCGACCTCAACAAAGAATGTTACGACAACGTTTAAATACCCCAGTAGGACGATCAGCTTCTGGTACACGCCATTCAACTGGTATGTATTTCACAGAAGTGGATGTTGCTGCAAAAGGAGCAGGGGATTTCAAGTATATCGCAAATGAGTGAAAACAGTAGACATTATTTAAAATACTTTTAATTTATATTCTAGTTATAACATTCGCTCTTCAGATGATATTAGTTCGGGATATTCTAGTGCCGAACCCATTTCGGGTGGTTTAAGCCGCACTTCTTCTATGTCTAATGCTTCTAAATCACGGTTAAAAGCAAAGCGATCAGAGGTAAGTTAAGCAAGACTCTTGTTTAATTTTTTTAACATTTAACTAATGTACAAAAAAATATTTTTTTGTAAGTAATTAAATACTCTATAAAAGAGTTAATCTCTTTGAGTGAATATTTAATTTGAACGTGTTGAATCCTATTAAATAAATAAATTTTTATTCTCAAAATTTAATTAATGTTTTGTAACTCAAGACAAATTAGACAAATTTAGCAATTGAACTATTTTAGTACCTTAAAAATAAAACATATACAAATGTACTTATTATTGGATATTAATATCTTATTATATATCCTTTCGGGTTAAATAAATGCAGCGGTTGTGATTTTTTATAATTGTAAAATAAATTAGTATTTAATTTATTGGCATGAAAAAAGGAACTTAAGAAAAATTGAGAAAATTATTTTTCCATAAAACACAAAATTCACATATAAAATGATTAAATAAATATTTGTTTTACAAAGTGTAATATAACAATGTATGTATAAGTAATATTTTGTTCAACACCCCTTCTCAATTTGTAAAACATTCATATAAGGCCAATCATTTCTCGGAATTTTGCTACTTTGATATTATGCAATGGTTTTGTTAAGAGATCTGCAAGCATATCCTCAGTAGGGCAGTACTCAAATTTAATTTCTTTTGCTTGCTTGACTTCACTAACAAAATGATATTTTATATCGATATGTTTTGTACGCGAATTTGTTTTCTCGAGATCTAGCAACTTCAAACAGCTTTGATTACCTTCTTTTATTCTAAATTCAGAAATATTTAGGTTTAAATCTTTGAATAACATTTTCAGCCATAAAAGTTCTTGTGTAGCTTCAGCTAATGAAATGAATTCAGCCTCTGTTGAAGACAATGTAACTTGCTTTTGTTTTCTGCTTGCGTACGAAATTGTGGCTCCACCTAATTGGAATACGTATCCACTTGTGGACTTTCTGTCTTTTATATCACCAGAAAAATCTGCATCAGCATATCCAATAATATTTAGGTTTTGTGCCTCAATGCATAGCTTTAAGTTACACGTTCCATTTAAATACTTAAATATTCTTTTAACTTCATTCCAGTCTCTTTTTGTAGGACAGGAAACTTTTCTGCTCAGAATTGAAACTGCAACTGTAAAGTCAGGCCTTGTGTTGTTAGATAAATACAGTAATGATCCAATTGCTTGTCTATATAAATTGTTTGATTCTAATTGATCAATTGAAGTGTAATTTTCTTTTATATATCCAACATCTAATGGTATTTTTGATGGTTTTGAATTAGATACTCCATAATGTTCTGAAATCTTCTTAATATATTTCTGTTGATGTAATAAAAATTTCCCATTAACTTTTTCAACTCCAATTCCCAAAAATAATTTTAATTCTAAGATCTGTTATTTTAAATAATTTTGAAATGTCTTGAATTAATTCTTCTAAAAGTATCTTATTTTTCGTTATAATAAGTATGTCATCTACATAAACTAGTAAATACATTAAATTTTCTCCATTTCCTTTTGTATACAAACAACAGTCAGTAGTTCCCCTTCTGAATCCTAAACTTATGTTTCACTAATGTTTCATTATGTTTTTGATTCCAACATCTCGCTGACTATTTCAGACCGTAAATGCTTTTATTTAATTTACATACAAAATTTGATTTGTTTGAAATTTCAAATCCTTTTGGTTGTTGTAAATAAATTTCATTTTCCAAATCACCATTCAGAAATGCTGTTTTAAAATCAATGTGATGTACTATCATATTTTTGTACGATGCAACTGTTAGAAGAGTTCTAAATGTGGACTGTTTAATTACTGGAGCAAATACTTCATCATAGTCTTGCCCATACTTTTGAGAAAAACCTTTTGCTACAAGACGCGCCTTATATTTTGTCGTTCCATCTGCTAACGCCTTGATTTTATATAGCCATTTGTATCCAACAGCTTTCCTTCCCTTTGGTAGTTCAACCAAATCCCAAGTATTGTTTGAGTACATTGCTTGTATTTCTTCTTCCATTGCTGCAATCCATTTCTCATTATCTTTACTTTCTACAGCTTCTTTATACGTTGTTGGTTCAAATATATCAGCTTTAAAGTCATATCTTTCTGGTGGAATTCCCTTGTTTGCTCTAGAAGATCTTCTTATGTTTGATGGCTCTTTATTAGTTTCATTTTGTCTCAAAACATCATTATTTTCATTATTTGGTAAAATTTCCACTGAATCTTCTGCATCACTATCAGCTGTATCAAAGCTTTCTTCATGTTCTTCTTGAATTTCATTAGGCTGGGAGTTATCTACTATTTCATTTTCACTATAATTTAAAAGATTTATAGAAACTAAACTGTGGTCAACATTTTTAACAATATTGTTGTTATTCCAATTTTCTATAAATTTAACATCTCTTAAAATAGTTATTTTATTATTCTCTTTATTAAGAATTTTATAAGCTTTCGATTCATCGCAGAATCCAACTAGATATCCCTTTTTAGCCACATTATCAAGTTTCTTACGAAATTGTTTATTAACATGATAATATACTTCACACCCAAACATTCTAATATGTTTCATAGTGGGTTGTTTGGAGAACCAAAATTCATGATGTGTTTTATTTGTAGATCTAGAGGGTAATCTATTTTGTAAATAATTTGCAGTATTCACTGCCTCAGCCCAATATTTTAATTCTAAACCAGATTGTATTAGTAAACAACGAGTCATTTCGATGAGACTTCTATTTTTACGTTCAGCTACACCATTTTGTTCTGGCGTATAAGGAGCTGTAAATTGCTGACTGATACCTTTACTTTTCATAAAATCATTTAAGGCTTTGTTTTTAAATTCACCTCCTCTTTCTGTTCTCAAAACTTTCAATCTCTTCTTAAACAAATTTTCAACATAAGCTACATATTATTTTATTTTCTCAAACGCTTCACTCTTATTTGTTAAAAAATAAACAACACAGTACCTGCTATGATCATCAATCATTGTTAGGAAATATTTGTTACCACTGGGTGTTACAGCTTGCATAGGTCCACATAAGTCAGCATGTACTAAATCCAAAATATTTTCCGCACGATTTTGAGTTGCTTTAGGAAATTCTTGTCTTGTCATCTTTCCTTTAAAACAGACTTCGCAAACTTCAGAACACTTACAAGATTTTATTTGTACATTTGATATTAAATTATTTTCAATAGCTGATTGTATAATTTTATTATCACGATGACCAAATCTTTTATGAAATGTATGGATACATTCGCTTTCACTTGCTTTAACAATATTTGCATGTTGCGTTTGCTCAATAATATATAGATTATTCACCAGATTTGCCGTTACTAATATATTTTCATCTTTTGATATTTCACATTGTTTATTCTTGAATAAAACTTGTAAACCATTTTGAACCATTTTAGCAACTGATAATAAATTTCCATCTAACTCTGGCACATATAGGACGTTCTTTATCTTGATTTGTTTACTGCCACAATGAATGAAACCATCACCAGAACCTTAAGCTGTTATTTTCTTGCCATTGGCCAAATAAATGTTACCACTAACTTCAGCATTAAACGTTGTAAAAAATTTTCTATTACTGCTCATGTGGCAACTTGCACCAGAATCTACGTACCATTCGTTTTGGTTAAGTTTGTCACCAGAATTCAAACAAAATTCTTCAATTTCACCAGAATTTGGCTTTTCACTAATTTTTTAGCTTTCAATTTTGAATTCTTACTTTCAAAATTCTTTTTGACACGACAATCACGCTTAATATGTCCAACCTTACCACATCCATAGCATTTCTTTGTATATTTCATATTTTGCATTTTCAACGCTAAATTCGTTGTACTTGACTGCTCTTGTTCACTTGATTGTTTTCGTTTATATTCTTGAATTAATTTTTCTTTAACAAGGTCCAATGTTAATTCATCTTCAGATCTCACTTCCAAACCAGTAATTATTGTATTGTATTCATCTGGCAAACTTCCCAATAAAAACGCTACTTGCAGGTGATTAGCTAAATCCTCACCCAAACCGCTTAATCTGTTAATCGTTTCTAGAATTTCAGATATATGAGCTTCCATATCTTGATTTGGTTTCAATTGTATTCTGGTTTCAATTGTACCAACTGCGAATCTTCGACTAAAAGTCCAATGGTAGCACGTGCTTTACCATATTTTTGCGACCAACATGCATTTGGAGATGCAGGCTTTTCATTGGAAACTATTTCCCACAAGTCCTCTTTAATTAGTAAGAGTTCCAACTTGTATTTCCATATTTGGTAGTTTTCACCATTCAATTTCTTTACGCATGACTTGATATCTTCCATTTTTCAAAAAATATTTCACACAATTATGTATCACACACGAATTAAAGGCCCATAACCTATTGGATATTAATATCTTATTATATATCCTTTCGGGTTAAATAAATGCAGCGGTTGTGATTTTTTATAATTTTAAAATAAATTAGTATTTAATTTATTGACATGAAAAAAGGAACTTAAGAAAAATTCAGAAAATTATTTTTCCATAAAACAAAAAATTCACATATAAAATGATTAAATAAATATTTGTTTTACAAAGTGTAATTTAACAAAGTATGTATAAGTAATATTTTGTTCAACACTTATAAACTAGAGAACTTAACCTTTCCGAGGCGATGTAACATGCAAAACTAAAATCTCATTTCGCCGATGTTATAACACCCCCAATATGTTAACCTTAAGAATAAAATCACTTTTTTATCGTGATTTCGCCGAGAACCATAAAATGTTCTTCATTATACATAGTGGGACATAATCATATTTTTGGAAATTATTCTGGCATTTCAAAACGGCTGATCGGATCGATACAATATTTGACATAGGCGTAGTTAAGGAGTGCTTCAGTTTAAGTTATAAATATATGAAAAATGAAAATTGTTTAAACGGATGTCATTTCTTTATTTATCAGCTATTTATTTCTTACAATTTTCAAATTGTAGCCATTTGAAAATTAAAATTTAAACTATTTTAATATCGGA